ATTATCAGTATGCCAAGAGGATGTGGGGAACCCTGCCCTTGGGAACAGACCTTTAGAGAGACTGGGAGCTTTAGCTGTACGCAGGAATATGATGGGCACCTGGAGAGTAAGGGTGGACTTATGGTGGGTGAGCACTGTGTCTCCGTGGGGCTGGGGAGGATAGAGAGAGAAAATTGGGGAACTGAAAGGAAGTTGGGAATAAAGAGAGCCAGGGGTATCCCCAAACCTGAGGCTGGATAGGGGCAAATGACTGCATTCTCTGAAGGTTCACCGATGCCCTGGTCACCATCCGGAACCGGCACAATGACGTAGTGCCCACCATGGCACAGGGAGTGCTGGAGTACAAGGACACCTATGGTGATGATCCGGTGTCCAACCAGAACATTCAGTACTTCCTGGACCGCTTCTACCTCAGCCGTATCTCTATCCGCATGCTCATCAACCAGCACAGTGAGCCCTGGCTGCCTCGGAGAGGGAGGGCAAGGTGTCCTGGCAGGGTCTGCCACGAAGGGGCCCCGCCCCTGACCGGGAAATAGGGCTCCACACTCCAGCCACTGTGCCCAGAGGCCTGAGTGCTATTCGGGAACTGAAGAGTTACTGGCTTAAGTCAGGTGTGGAAGCACACACCTTTAATCCCAGCGCCTGGGACGCTGAGACAGGAGGATCATATGTTTGAGGTCAAGCTTCACTACATAGTGAGACTTTGTCAAAAAATTAAAATAAATAAATAAAAATAAGGTGATCCCCAGCACTGGGGAGGCAGAGGCAGGTGGATCTCTGAGTTTGAAGCCAGTCTTGTCTACACGGTGGTTTCCGGGACAGCCAGGACTACACAAAGAAAGCCTGTCTCAAAATAAACAAATAAATAAATAAAAAGTACACTTAGCAGGGTGCGATGTGGGAGAAGCCTATGGAGGAATGCTGTGGGGTACAGAGACTTGGGGAGGCCTGAGCTAGGGGGGCATGATTAGCATGGAGTGTACAGAAGCTAGCAGATGGAGTGAAGGCAGGACATTTAGGAAGACAGAGGACTAGATCCTGTGAGCTAGTCAGCAATGCCCTTCTCTCTGCCCACAGCCCTCATCTTTGATGGGAGTACCAACCCAGCTCACCCCAAACACATTGGCAGCATTGACCCTAACTGCAGCGTGTCTGATGTGGTGAAAGGTGAGCCCCCCCACCATAGGCCTGGCCCATAAAGGAGCTCTAGGGACCCCTCCCAGATAACCTGGCCAGAGAATGGCCCATTCCCAGTGGGTGGGGTCGGGGGGCATGTCCCCATGGGCTTCATGTTGGTGATACCCAATGTTAGTGCATGTTGGGTCAGTCACCCATAACCTGAGTGGTTCCCTCTCCTCTCAGATGCCTATGACATGGCCAAACTCCTGTGTGACAAATATTACATGGCTTCACCTGACCTAGAGATCCAGGAAGTTAATGGTAAGCAAATGAGGCTGTGTGTGTGAATGTGTGCATGTATGTGTGTGTGCACGCGTGTGCATGCGTGTGTATATGTGTGTACCTATGCATGTGTTTCAGAGCAATGGGAACAGACCAGAGTAGGGGAGCTGGAGGGCCAGGCTCCCCTAGAGGGGAGCTGTTCTGAATTATTAATTTGTTGGACAACTGCTTATTATTTAGCACACGCATCATGTAAAGAAGATAGGCAAGCCCTTGCCTTCACAGAGCTAACATTCTTGGTGCTGGGGAGGTTGGGACCTGTGACAGTTAACCACTGAACATAATTTCAGCTAATTTCAGAGCGTGTAGGTAACAGACTGATGTCATTGTCCTTGTAAGTGAACATAGTGAGTAAGTGAAGGACATGATGTGGGATCAGAGGACAGAGGCCAGGACCACCTCCCCAGAATGCAGTGGCTTAGTTAAGAGATGCCTCTGAGTGACCAGCCCCAGGTGGAGTGGTCAGAGCCAGTACTCGCTCCCAGGTCTGAGAAAAGCAGACCGAACTTGTACTGTCCAAGTGTTACTAGCTATGGCAGCTTGGAAGGTGCACAGCCTCATGCCAGGGGAAGAGGGAGGGAGGGAGGGAGGGAGGGAGGGAGGGAGGGAGGGAGGGAGGGAGGGAGGGAGGAGGGGAGGGCGAGCGGGGCGGGCGGTGGGGCTCCTCTGAAGGAACAGGGGCTGCATGGTCGCACTGTAGAAGAGACTGGGAGGTTCCTTGCCGTGCTCTGCCCTTGCCCTTGACTCCACAGCCACCAATGCCAACCAGCCCATCCACATGGTCTACGTCCCCTCCCACCTCTACCACATGCTCTTTGAACTCTTCAAGGTAAGAAGGCTGCCCTTCTCAGGAAGCTGGGAGGGTCAGCCCTTGGGCCCTCAGCCTTAGCAGCGATTCCCTTGCTGTGTCCTCCATTCCCTTCCCAGAATGCCATGCGGGCCACTGTGGAGAGCCACGAGTCCAGCCTCACCCTCCCCCCCTATCAAGATTATGGTGGCCCTGGGTGAAGAAGATCTGTCCATCAAAGTATGTGACCCTTGACCTGACCGCGGGAGGTCGCGGGGATTAGGGCGAGGAGTGGAAGGTATCTCGCATGTCCCTTGTCTCCCAGATGAGTGATCGAGGTGGGGGTGTCCCCTTGAGGAAGATTGAGAGGCTCTTCAGCTACATGTACTCCACAGCCCCCACACCCCAGCCTGGCACTGGGGGTACGCCACTGGTAAGATGGCTTCTTCCAGGCCCCCCTCCTGCTTTCTTAACTCCCAAGCATACTCCCACCCTACCCCGCCCCCCCTTGGTTGTATGGTGACAGTTTCCTGCTGCCCATAGCCCCTTCCTGCTGGTCACCCGCCCATCGGCTTGGCGGTCACTTTTCCTCGTCTTCCCCCTTCCTCTGCTGCATTGCTCATTGCTAGCCTTTGTGGCACCTCCCTTGGGCTGCGCAGTCCTGTGCTTACAGAATGGGCTCTGAGGAGCTCGTGGGTGGAGCTCTCCTGTCCAGCTGTCCTCCCTGCTTCCTCTGCAATTCCCTTGCCTACCACCTACTCCCATCTGCACCAGAAATGTCCCTTCCCTACTCCTGCTCCAGCACTCCCGCCTGTCCCTAGCCGGGCATCCCTGGCTCACTTCATGACCCGTGGCTTATCTGCAGGCTGGCTTTGGGTATGGACTCCCCATTTCCCGCCTCTACGCCAAGTACTTCCAAGGGGATCTGCAGCTCTTCTCGATGGAGGGTTTTGGGACAGATGCTGTCATCTATCTCAAGGTGAGGCCCCGTGGGGGCAAGTTTGCTGCGAGCAGGCTTCTACCAATCCCTCATCCGGACTCCAGACTCAGAGCCTTGGTTCCTCCAGTACTGCAGCTTTAATGTGGCAGGGAATTTCAGGGGCCTAGGGGCTGTGCATGGAGCCTCTTCTAAGGACTCAGGTTGGAAGGAAGGGGGCCTTACAGGACTTGGCCTTCCATTGAGAGGGAAAGCCTTGGTGATTGATAGAGGTCACCCAGCCCACCCTCTTTCCTCTCTCCTTTTTACCTCCTTGACCTTTGAGGGAAGAGCTCTCTTGAATGGACCAGAGAAAGATAGAGAAGGTTAAGACCCTTTTAGGGGTTTTTCTGGGTCTTGGGTATCGTCTCTGCTAGCGTCTGGTTATGGGGCTGACTTGGACATGGGATAGGATGCCAGGGTGGAGATTATCAGGTGGGAAGGGTGAGTGTGCTGGGGACTGGGGAAGAAACTGATGTCAGTGCTCCCTAGGCCCTGTCCACGGACTCGGTGGAGCGCCTGCCTGTCTATAACAAGTCTGCCTGGCGCCACTACCAGACCATCCAGGAGGCCGGTGACTGGTGTGTGCCCAGCACGGAGCCCAAGAACACATCCACGTATCGGGTCAGCTAGGGGCCTTCTCTCCCTGGCCCCTGGGAGGAGGCTGCCACCCTGAATCCAGCCACCACAGGGACCTTCCCTATCCCCTGGGGTACAGAGGGTGAAGCTGGGTCTCCCTAAAGGCCAGGTCTATCTTTGTAGAAATCTCAGTGACCCATCTGTGGTGGTCCCTAAGTGCCAATCTGTCTCTATGGAGAAACATAGGGGGTTTCTGTGGAGCCTGGTCTCCATGGTGACGCTTGAGGGTTGGAGATGGCTGTACCTGATGGGGTGCCCCAGAGACACTTCTCCATGGCAGTTCTCCCAAGACCAGAGCTGTCAACTTTCTACCAGAGACCCTGGGTCCCCGTCACTGCCTGCATAGCCCTGGCCTTCCAAGTGGCTGTCCTGCTTGCCTTATTCCCACACCCTGTACAGTTATACTGGGTTGTGTCCTCTGCCGATGTTAAGAAGGGTGGAGTGCCCTCAGGTCTGGAGAAAAGATGGAGAGAGGGAGTGCATCCTTGACCCTGGTCCTGCAGCCTCTCTCTGCCAATGCCCTGGACATTAAGGTTGCAACTGGAAACTTGAGAGTTGGTATTACCTAAGGTATTGCCACCGGGGAAGGCCGAGAGGTAACCGCCCCACCAGGACTCCAAGACGATCGATCTTGGCAATGTTTGTGCCACTTCCCGAATCCTGGCCCAGCATGTCCTCACATGCACACCTCCCCTGCCCAGTGTCCACCCACCCTGTCCTGCCTGAGCTTTAGACCCCCCCCCCCCGTGCCCACCACATGTGCACAGGTGACTCATCCCTAGGACATCCTATGTATATAGCCAGTTTTGTAATCTCAATGCCCTGCCCTTCCCCTCAGCACACAGGGGTTAAAGCTGTGTGCCCCTCCCAGTGGCTGGGATGGTGACAGTGACATCCACAGTAAATAGATGAAATGAGACTGGTGACTGTCTGCCTTGCTGGGGGAGGGTGAGTCCGCACATGAACACTCGTGAAGACTGTCGGTCCTCTAGAACTAACTGTACTCGGGCCCTTGCCTAGCTAGCAACCTGAGTATACCGCAAGGCGGGGCCACCCACTCAGAACACCTGGCAGTCCGTTGCCCAGTGGTATGCAAGCCATAGCTTAGTCCCGCATCCCAGACAGAAAGATCATTGGTGTGTGGTAAATATTTATTGAAAGAAGTTGCGAACCATCTTCCCCCTTCACATGCAGGTGGGGCACACTTGGTAGGGCCTCCACCCTCCCCACCCAGTCTAGATAGTGCCAATGCCCCTATACCTTAGTTTCCCTCTGAGGCCCCTCTCCCAGTGCGGATGGCTGAGCCCAAGCACAGGGCCCTGGCCTTCAGCTACTTTTTCAGGCAGGAGAGAGGGAGCTAGCATGCAGGTCCTGTCCACCCCTCCGGGAAGCTGGGAGGGGTGGGGGGTTTCTTCTCACTGACCAGCACCTGAGAAGCTGGGTAGCGTGGCATCTGAACCCTCTGTCTCTGAAAGCATCCTACAAAGGACGTATGGCAAACCTACCCAGGGCTGGCCCAGTCCTCCCTGTGGCCTATCAAACCGGAGCCAGCAATGTTTGTCAGCTCTAGGCTCGCTGAGGCCTTGATACGCCCAAGGGACCTGGGGAGCTGATGGACCCTTCGGATCCAGCAGCTTCCGGGCCACCCTCAGACCGTGTCTCTGCCCGGCTAGTGTGCTGAGAGTCACCAGTTCAGTGCCACCCAGTCACTAGTGGGGGGTGTCCTATGTCCCCAACAGCTCCCATTTATCCTGACCCCAAAGAAGGCTCAAGCACTCTCTGAAGAAGTGGATTCTAGCTCTGTGAAAGGGTCGAAGACCCACCCATGCCTGACTCAGTGGGAGAGGAGCAGGGCCATCCTGCCCGCTGGGACCTGCAGGGTTAGTGAAGAGGAGGGAGAAAGAGGCCCCTTCTCCCCACTCTGCAGCCCTTACAGAGGCCAGCTTACCCTCCACTGCTCGCTCTTCTCTCCTTTGAGGAGCTGTCTGGGAATCTACCCTGAGTGCTGCTAGCCCACTGGCCTCTCTGGGGAGAACTGCCCTCCCACCACACAGCCACCTTCAAGAGCTGAGGAGACCGCTCTGTCTCCTCCTGGGATGCTCAGGCCGCTCTCTAAGCCTAGGAATCCTGGTCATGGGAGGGCCTCTCTTGCTGGCTCACTTCCTCTTCAGTACCACTCTGGTCAGAGGGAAGAGGTTCAGCCTGGGCCAGGCTCCTCTGGGCTCCAGATTTACTGCATTCCTGGCCTCTGCCCTCTTCATCTGCCACCTTCTTCCTCCTGGAAATCTGTGCCAAACAAGTCCTCGAAATTGGGTTTATTACTGGGCCCTCTCCCTGGGATATCCCTTCAGAGGATTCGGTCCAAACAGGGTGAGAGGGGTCACGTGCCCCCAAGAAGCTGGAACCTAGACCCTACTTCCCTGGTGAGGCCCGTGCAGGTGGCTGCAAGTGCTCCGGGGTGCCGCCCCGCCGCCCCGCCAGTCACCCCTAGCTCTTCTTAGCCTCCTGCTCCCGACGCCGCAGCTTCTCCCGCTGCCGGGCAGTCTTCTCCTGCGCCTTCCGTTCCTTCTCTGCGGCCGCTGCCAGCTCCTTCAACTTCCGCTTCACCAGCGCCCGGTCATGCGAGTTGCTCAGCCCCAGGCTCTGGAAACAAACCCAGAGTGAAGAAGAGAGACCCACTCCTCCCAAGTACTCCCTGCAGCCCCCTGGAGTCTGCTCTCAAGTACGGCCTTTTCTAGGGACTGGGCCTCCAGAGAAGAGGAATGGGTTGCGAGTGGTCAGAGATGACAACTGGAACTAAGCCATTTGTGCCCCATCCTTGGCTCCAGATCCTCAGCCTAGGTGCCACAACCCTGCCCGACCTCCTGAACGCCTCAAGATGGAGATTTGTTCAAGGTCACACAGCTAGGTGGCAAGGTCTCTGCCCACTTCAAGGGATTGTCCCTTCAAACCCAGGGACCTACAGATGTTGAAAGCCACCTCTCTACATTGTCCCCTTAGCACACCCCTGCCATCAAGCCCCGAGACTAAATATGACATGGAGCTGGCCAGAAAAGAGGTCTGGCTTCCCAACACTGGATGGTAGTCCAAACCGAAGGGCAAGGTTAACCTGAACACCCAGGCTGGAGCTAGAAGGTCAAATGGGCTTAAATTTCAAGCCAGACTAGGGAGTCAAACTACGTTGCAAAGATTAGACCAGACCCTTGTATACAGGGCAGAAGCCAGGTCAGTGGCTAGACAGGGAGAGGAAACCCCAGGTCAGCCCAGGACACAAGTAAGAGCCGAAAGTCAGGACAAAGGGGGTCCTTATACTTGCAAGCTACCTCAGTCTGGCTGCTCTTACACGCTTACCTACCTTCAGTTTGCTTCCGTCCAGCTGCAGGAGCTGCGGCCCATCCACCTGTCGGGCAGCGAACTCCGCAGCGTACTGTTCCAGGTTGAGGCTGCACAGCCACTGGCCCACCTGCTGGCTGGTCCAGTGTTGTACGGTCGGGAGGGACTCGTCCAGGAACTGTGGTAGAGATGGGGAGAGTAAACGGAGCCCAGCCCGTGGCCAGGTCCCCAGCAGGCGCAAAGACTAGCCTGGCTCACCTCGTCCGAAGACTGGGACAACGTATGGTAGGGATAGGAGCACTTGGTCTCCTGTCGAGGACCACTGGGGATCTTGGGGCTGCTGCTTGGAGGTGTGGAGTCATCACTCAGGGTGGATTCCTGGATAGAAAGGGTGTGTGCTGAGGAGTAAGTTCATCCCCCCAACCCTGAGCCCGTCACACCAGCAGTTGTCCCATGCTCCTGATGCTGAACCAGAACTTAAGTGACACATCAGAACCTGAGCCCTCAGCGGGGCAGTGGTGGCGCACGCCTTTAATCCCAGCACTCGGGAGGCAGAGGCAGGCGGATCTCTGTGAGTTTGAGGCCAGGCTGGACCGACAGCCTCCAAAACAATCAGAGAAACCCTGTCTCGTAAAACAAAACAAAACAAAAAAACAAAACAAAACAGAACCTGAGCCCTCTAGGAGGGAAGTGGTTACCTAGAGGCTAGCACTAGGTGAGCAAAAGGATTAGCAGGAGTGGAGGAGGCCAGATGCTGCTGCCTTCAGGTAGCCCACCAGGATTCCCCCAAGGCTGGGTTGTGAGTCCCTGTTTCATGGGATCTCTCTCCTAGGCCTCTTGCATACTGGCTGGAGGATGGCCCTCATTGGCCTTGGATCTTTGTGAGGACTTGGGCTGCTGTCTCACTCAGCGTGGTGTCCCACGGGACCAGCATAAAGGAAGGATATGAGGAACTGAGGAAGGATGTAGGGTGATTAAAGACCAAAGTTGCACATCAGAAGGGTCTCTTCCCTGAACCCCAGAATGTCTGATTCTCCTAAGCCCATACACATTTGTGCACATCTGCGAGCAAGTCCCTTTTCTCGGGACCTCATTTTCTCTTCTGTGCTGTGCAGATAACAATGCCTGCCTTGCCTACACCACAGTTAAAGCCACACATGAGTCCTGAGCTTTGTAAAATATAGCAGTCTGTAAGGAGACTTTAGTATTGGTTGTGTTGATGGCTCTCGTTTCCTAGGATCTGAAGCTTCCAGAGCACCAGGTAGGAGTCCTGATCATCTCTTTCTCTAAAACTCCCCACCATGCAGGTGGCCAGCTGTTGATGGTGAGGTCCAGACGTGACTCAGGCAGAACAGTAAGAAACAAGGGGGCCTCGGATGGACGGAGTGAGAGGTGGGGGCTCAGTGTCCCCACATGATGCTGAGTGGAGGAAGCAATTTAAATGCACAAAAGCCATGGGAACTGGTATGAGTGCATGAGCCAATGAGTGGATGAAAAACCAGAGAGCAGGTGGAAGTCATGGGCACTAGGTGGCTGGCTCTATGGAGAGACATGATAGGTCCCAGAAAAGCCCGGGTCTCTGTCCAAGCCCAGATGAAGTATGTCCTTGTCATGAGCCTGGAGCCAGTGTGGAGCAAGAACGTCCTGGGGTTACACTGGCAGGTGGTACACTCTTACAGTCCCAGCTCAGCCTGGGGTGAGGAGTAAAACTGCCTCAGGGGGCAAAAAGAAAGACGGAAAGGAAATCTGGACGATAAGAGGGGAGGAGAAGAAGGAATAAAGACCCAGGTTTACCTGGGAAGCTGACTTCTTGGGGCTGAAACCCTCGTGTTTGGGGGAACAGGTCGGGGAGGTGGTGCTCCCTGAGGAAGCAGAGCCTTTGCCGCTGTCTGTGAACCAGGAAAAGGGCAGGAACGGGGAGCCCCCTGTCCTTCCAGAACCTTCTACGGACTCCCTGTGGAGAAAACATCCAGCATGGTGTGGGTGTCCAGGAGAGGATGGGAGCCATGGGGGGATGCCATGTGTACCTCTCACCTGCTGCCCATGGACAGGCGGTTGCTACCCTTCTCCTTCCTGCTCTTGCCAGTGGATGCTCGGCGGAGAGTGACCCTGTAAGGAGGCAGGGTCAATGGAGCACACCTGTGCACTGTGATGCTCTGACCCCAGCAGCTCCCAGGACCCACGCAGGACCTGCCCCCACTCACCCCAGGTCCAGGAATTTTCTGCGGGTCTTCTTATCCAAGCCGATGGTGGGGCTGGCAGGCTCAGGGGGGCTGGCATCCCGGCTGTCATCTTTAGAAGAGAGGGAGGAAACCAGCTAAAGTGGAGGCGTGTGTGCCTCCTGCTGCTGCCCATGTGGGGTGGTAGACATTTCTTGACTTGGAATTAGACCATCTGGCTCTTGGGTTTCATTAGCTGTGTGACCCGGGAGATGACACTCTCTTGTTTTTGAGTTCCCCTTCATTTCAAACATAGAGACATGCCCATTTTACAGTATCTAATGGGAGCCTAGGCATCTGCCTTTTGCAAACTGTAAAAGTACTTTACAACTGAGAAGGTAGGACTATTAATGTTTGTTAGTTCGTTTGGTTCGTTTGTTTTTAAGACAGGTCTCGATGAAACCCAGGCTGGCTGGAACTCCATATATGGCCTTAGTCTCCTGATTCTCCTGTCTCTTCCTCCTGAGTACTGGAATTACCAGGGTGCATCACCGTATCTGACATGCTGTGACCAAGGCTTTCTGCATGCTAGGCATACTACTGACTTTATCTTGGCCATCTTTGAACCAGCCTTTTAATCTTGGCTCAAATGTCACCTCCTCCGGGAAGCCTTTCAGGTCAGGCAAAAACTCTTCAGCTATGTATGTTTCCTTCTATTACAGTTTGTAACTATACGTTAATTACGAGGTGATTTGGTTGTTTCTTTCCTAAGCTACACTTTCCCAGAGGCCAAGGACTGTATCACTGCTCTGTTTGTCCCAGCGATGTCTATCATGTAGTAAGCTCCTGTAATGAAGAATGGAACCTGCTGGCCATCCTTCCACCTCCCCTGTAGTGACCATACCGCCCGGCCAAGCTGCGGTTCCCGTGATCGTCGGCAGGGGGCGTCGCGCCTGCCGGCCTCACCTTCGCTGTGCGGCTCTGCTCGGGGATAGCGGCGCACGAAGCTGGGGGAGCTGTCCGAGGAGGGTGCGGAGCGCGTGGGCGAGCCGGAGGTGGCGGCCAGGCCCTCATGCGAGGCGGCGTTGTGCAGGGGCCGGTAGCGGGCGAGGGGCGAAGGCGGCGGCTCGTCCTCATCCAGGCTGCGCCGCAAGCCGGGGGGGCTCCAGGCAGAAAGAGCCGCCGGCGGGAGAACCTGGGCCCGAGTGCAGAGGCGAGCGCAGCCGGTGCAGAGGGCTACCGCAGCCGTCGGTCACCTGGAAGAAGGGCAGCCGCTGATCCAGCGCCCCTCCTCACTCCCTGGAGTGAGCACCAGGGGAGCTCTGCTTCCTGGGGCCTGGAGGGTGGGTTCCTCCGGCCTGGGGATGAGGAGTGCCTGAGCAGTGCTGGGAGAAATGGGTGATAACATGAAGTGAGGACATCCTGCTTCATTTGCTAACTATGGGATTTGCAGAACCCTCTGCTCTCCGCTTCTTAATCTGTAAAATGGGCTAACAGAAGTACAGGAACCAGAAGTGAACAGCTAGCTGACATCCATTTGGGTGGATGACTGTCAAATCTTTGGGGGCACACTTCCCTGGAAGGGGCGGGCGGGGGGGGGTGATTCAGGGGCAAGATGTGAGTGTGTGTGTTACCCCAACCTTGCCTCCGGGCCCATCAGAGCTTTCACCGTCCTCAGCAGAGCTGGCACTGTCACGTAGCCTGGAGCGGGAAGGCCGGTGTCTCCGGCCCTTGGCCAGCAGCTGGGCCCGGGCTTTGTGTAAGCTGCTGTCCAGTCTGGTGGTCTCTGGTACAGCCAAGTCCAGGTCTGCAAACAGAGACCAGAGCCACCTGACCCATACCGCAGACATTGAGCTGGTGCTTGGGAGGGCAGCCCACTATGACTCTAGGTGAAGGCGGCGCCTCCCAAAGGCTGGCCTCCCAACCCCACCGGATAGCATCTGCACATGGCACAATATGCCTGGCCCTCCTGTGAGAATGGCTGGCCTATGTGCAGACACTCACACAGTCGGGTGAGAGGAGGCACACCCACCCGGATCCTAAGGACCGGGTGAGAGTTGGCAAGCATTGAAATGGGAGGGAAGTAGGGAGGAGAGATGGCACCTCTGGGTGGCAGGAAGTAGTTCTGTGGGACAAGAACTGGGAGAAAAGCCGTGGAGACCAGGGCAATGAATCTGCCGTGCACCTAGTGGGATGAACACTGGGCTCCTCAGAGCCATGTGGGGAGGGAAGGTTACAGCATCTGGGACACATTTTCAACTGGGCCCACTAGGACCAAAGACAGCAAGTCAGGACTGGAGCCACTGGCTTGGGTTTGGGGTGTGACTCCAGAAATGGACCCTCCTGGGGACAACTATCCTGCTGCACCACACTCGGGGCTGTATTTAAGGAAAGCAGTGTTATGCACGGGAAAAGCCCTCGGTTGAAATGAGGAAGCAGGACATCCAGACGCCAGTGTCAGTCTCAGGAGCAAAGCTCCTTCAGGCCCTTGAAGCTTGTCTCTTGGATCCCGGGCTCTACAGCCCAGTGCTAGGTCCTGCTAGAAGCTGGAGGGTGGGTAGCCACACCTGCTGGGAGTGTGAGGAAGCACTCCATGGCCACAATTTCACTTTCCAGTCGGCTGCCTTAGGAAGCATCGCTCTGACCAGCGGCTCGTTAGTCTAGGGGTATGATTCTCGCTTAGGAAGCATCGCTCTGGTTCTGGCCCTGGCCTTGGTACTGGGGTCTTCCTGGGCCTCAGGATGGGTCAGCACATCCCTGTGCACCCTCTCTTAGTATCTCCAGGACCCCCTGTTCCATCCTTCCCACCCACTCTTCTTGCCTGCTTCTCTCTCATCTGTAGGCATCCCCTACTTAATGGCCACTTTGTCTGTTCCCAGTCCTGACTTCCCCACTAAATACCAACCTAAGCATAGAAGCACCTGCCAGGGAACCTACAAGCCAGGACCCCCCTAGTGCCTCAGCCAAACACCACCCACAAAAGCACACCCATTAGAGCCCCTTTGCATCTAATCCCAGCACTCATGAGGTAGAGGCAGATGGATCTCTGAGTTCAAGTCCAGTCTGGTCTACAGAGGGTGTTCCAGGACAGAGAAACCCTATCTAACACTCTCTCTAGAAACCCTATCTAACCCTCCCTCCCTCCCTCCCTCCCTCCCTCCCTCCCTCCCTCCCTCCCTCCCTCCCTCCCTCCCTCCCTCCCTCCCTCCCTCCCTCCCTCTCTCTCTCTCTCTCTCTCTCTCTCTCTCTCTCTCTCATATTGGCTTGCCTTAATCTGATTTGTTGCCTCCTAGACCAATCAGTGGTCTACCCAAGTCAGCCAAGCTGGACAGCTGAGCTACCCTTCTCTACTCAGCCCTCCTCTACCCTGTTCCCACGTGTATGCTGTCTCCTTGTCTCCCCGCCGGATATTCAGAGTGTCTTCAGTGCAGAGCCCCCTATGCCCCCATGGCTGTCCCCCATGGCTGTCCCCCATGGCTCTCCCTCTGGTTGGTCTTTCTATCTTGGTAATCAGTGGCTCCATTCTTCTTGCTATTCAAACTAAACCCTGGGCCTTTTTTTTTTAACTCCCCTTGTCTGTTCCCAGCTTGCCCCCTTTCCTACACATTAGTTTAGCTGTATTCCTGTTAGCCACCCTCAAAGTAGTTAGTCCTGTCGAAACACAGAGGTGAAGCCTGAGGCTGTTTTCATGAGATTCAAAAACATCCAGGGCACTGGAGGTGAAGAATGGAAAGGGTGAAGCAAGTCTGGCCAGGTGGTGACCATGGTGGAGACAGAGTGACCAGGTGGTGACCATGGTGGAGACGGAGTGACCAGGTGGTGACCATGATGGAGACGGAGTGACCAGGTGGTGACCATGGTGGAGACGGAGTGACCAGGTGGTGACCATGGTGGAGACGGAGTGACCAGGTGGTGACCATGGTGGAGACGGAGTGACCAGGTGGTGACCATGGTGGAGACGGAGTGACCAGAACTTGAGCACATGACAGGTGTGTTCTTTTCTCTACTTATGAGGATGTCTGAGGTTTTACATTTTTTTACTATTATTTAGCTCTCTCTCTCTCTCTCTCTCTCTCTCTGTGTGTGTGTGTGTGTGTGTGTGTGTGTAGGGGTGTATATGCATTTGATGCACTTAAGTACGGATACCCTCAGAGTTCAGAAGAGGGTGTTAGATCCCCTGGAACTGGAGTCACATGCTGTTGTGAGCTGCCTGACCGTAAGTGCCAGGAACTGAACTCGGTTCCTCTACAAGAACAGTACCTACTCTATAAACTGCCCACTCTACAGTCCAAGCTCTTAGGTTTTGTCAACAAAATACTGTTTATGGCTTAGTATACACAGAGAGAGGAGTGGGAAAGAAGAGGGGAGAGGGAGGAAAAGGGGGGGCGGAGAGAGGAGCACCAGGTCTAGTCCCTATCAGCCTCTGCTATTACAAATGGCCTCCCGCTCCCTGTTACCACTTAGTGTTTCCAGCACAGCAGCCAGAGTGATCCTAATTCGATGTGTCAGCCCTGTCACCCCCCTGCTCAGAACCAGTTCATGCAGTGTCAGAGCCAGAGTTCTCTCAGCGGCCCTCTAGATTCAGTCTGTGCTCCACTTAATCTCTCTGAGCTGCCTCCATGCCCTGTCCCCTCCTCCCACCCTTCCTCTTACAGACCCAGCCTGCACCCCAAAGCTTTACACGGGTAACACCCTCTCCTGTATACTCCAAAGCACCATTCCTGTCTTTTCCTATAGCACATGTCACTCTGGGGCATCCTGGATACCTTTGCTATTTAAGCTTATATAGACTGTCAGCTCCAAAAGGACGGAGTTTTCAACCTGTGACTGCACCACAGACACCAGATAGCACCTGGTGCCTATGAATACTCTTTTACAGAAAGAAAAAGGGCACGTGAGGAACTATCCTGAATGGAACAACAGCAACCAGGGCTTCTGCCTCAGATTTGGTTGCTAGGCTGAGGCCTGGATGGCCATAAGGAGATGTTTGGTTTTTCAAGACAAGGTTTCTCTGTGTAGTCCTGGCTATTCTAGAACTTGCTCTGCAGACCAGACTGGTCTGGAATTCAGAGATCCACCTGCCTCTGCCTCGTGAGTGCTGGGATTAAAGGTGTGTACCACCACCACCTGGCTAGGAGATTTTCTAAGGAGAGGGGATGGTATAGTCCTGGCCTTGAGATGTCAGGGAACAGCCTGACTGAAGATGGAAGTAGACTCAGAGGCCATGGCATTTGTCCAGGGGTGCGGTGAGGGGGCTGAGAGGGGACAGCTACCGTCAGGACTGCTCTTTGGGATCCAGACGTGACTCACTTCAGTCCTGATGAAGAGCATCCTGGTGCCTCTGGAACCAGCTGGGAGCCGATAATAGCTCTCACACTGCTCTAAGCGCTTCACAATTATTGGTCACTGAAACCTCCGACTATCTTGGAGGAAAGGACTCAGGATCCCCAGGGCAGCCTTAATTTGCCCAAGAACATAGAGCTGGGTCAAAGACAGGCAGGCTGACTTGTTGGGAAGTACTAGACACATCAGATGTGCCCTTTCTGAACAGAGAAGGAGGCAACATTGTGTCTAAGCCCTCTTTGTTGTTGTTGTTTTGTTTTTTGAGACAGGGTTTCTTTGTGGCTTTAGAGACTGTCCTGGAACTAGCTCTTGTAGACCAGGCTGGTCTCGAACTCACAGAGATCCGCCTGCCTCTGCTAGGATTAAAGGTGTGCACCACCACCACCCGGCTTAAGCCCTCATTTTATGAGTGGAGAAACTGAACTCCGACAAGAGAGGTTTGATCAGTTGCATAGAGGGAGTAAAAGTGGAATCCAGCCTGGCCCCTGGACCAGCTCTCTAGCCTCCTCTCCACTGACCCCCAGTTGGTACCCAGGCATCTGCATCAGGGTGATGGGTCCTTGCTCCACAAGACCACATCGGTATCACCCACAGTCTGGAGAGCAAAGGGTCTCCTGAGGGCTTGGGGGTACAAAGCAAGGTGGCAGCAGTCTCACCAGGGCCCTTCAAACCCTCCTTTCATCTGCTCCCTTCCCTGCCTCCCCCTCTGGGCTCTGGGAAGTGGAAATGATGAATATTTAATTGTTTTCCTGTGAAGAAGCACTCCAGGCAGTGCCCAGCTACCTCGGCAGGCAGGAGGAAAATAAGACAGGATTGGGGAGAAGCATGGGGTGGGGAGGAAGGAGGCAGAAAAGCCCTCTGCCCACCAAGGGAAGCTCACCTTTAAGGACCTGCCAAGGTTAGGATAGACTTGTGTGGAGCCAGCCTCAGAGATAGGGAAGTATTGGGGTGGGGGTGGGGGAAGCAGGGCTCCCAGAAGCATTGAGACAACAATACTGGCATGACCAGGGCCAGTGGCGATGGCAAGAAGAGAAGAGAGAAAGGCAGAGAAGGGAGGAAGCAGGAGAACCTAGAGCCCTGTGACTCCATGTTTAGGAGCCCCTTAGAGTTACACACAGGAGTCATCCATTCAAATTCAGCTAGGGGACAGTTTTCTCACGACACAGCCATAGAGCCTGCTGACAGCTCTGCCTCTAGAAATGGTAGTGTATGCATGGACACCAGTGGATGCTGAAGGCATGGGCAGTGTGTGTGTGTGTGTGTGTGTGTGTGTGTGTGTGTGTGTGTGTGTGTGTGTGTAGGAGAAGATCTGTGGCACTTACATATGTGACTTGGGGAAAATATGTGGTGTCTGAGCTGGAATAGACAGAGGTTTAGCCCAGTGACTAAGGGCAGGGAGCCAGGCACTCTAGGGTTCTTAGCCTAGGGTTCTTACTTTGTGATGTGTTCATTCGTTCATTCATTCATTCATTCATTCTCTGTGTATACATGTGTGAGTGCATATGCACATATGCATAGAAGCCAGAAGTTGATAGCCTCGATTTCTCTCCACCTGAGTTTTTGAGACAGGGTCTCTTACTGAAGCTAGGGCTAACTAATTTGGCTAGACTGGCTGGCCAGCAAGCCCCAAGGAATCCTGCTTTCCTATCCCCAGCACTAGGATTACAAGTGTGCGCTGCTGTGTCAGTTTTGTTGGCTTTTTTGTTTGTCTGTTTGCTTTGAGATAGGATTTCTCTCTCTCTCTCTCTCTCTCTCTCTCTCTCTCTCTCTCTCTCTCTCTCTCTCTCTCTCTCTCTCTGTTTTTTTGTTTGTTTTTGTTTATCGAGACAGAGTTTCTCTGTATTGCTTTGGAGCCTGTCCTGGAACTCGCTCTATAGACCAGGCTGGCTTCGAACTCACAGAGACCTGCCTGCCTCTCCTCCTGAGTGCTGGGATTAAAGGTGTGTGCCGCCATGTCCAGTTTGTGCCCAGGTCTTATGTGGGTGTTTGGGACAGAACTCAAGTCTTCAGTGTGAGTGTGTGTGTATGTGTGTGTGTGTGTGTGTGTGCACACGCATGCGCATGATTGTGAATGTGGGTGTGCGTGTCATAGTGCACACATGGAAGTCAGAGGATAACTTTTGTGGAGTTGATTCTCTCCTCCATCCTTTATGTGGTTTATGGGAATCAAACTCAAGTTGCACAGCTAGTGCCTTTATCTGCTGAGCCATCTCTCTAGCCTCCGTGTGATTTTTAAAGCAAGTCATATTGGTACTGTGCATCCTACACCCCTTGTCTGTACAACTAACATTATTTTGAGAATCAAATGACACACTGGATGTGAGATCAGGTGCACACCATGTCCTGAGGTGCCCTATTTGCCCTTACCCCATGCCATGCCCAGTAGACTTGAAGGAAGGGTTCCATGGCTAGGTCTATTGCTAGACATAAAGTCACACAGAACTTACCAAAAACTTCATCCACAGGTTCTCGGAGCTTTGAGGAAGCCATGACTCAAGAGAGCTGGGAAGGACAAAAAGGAGAGAGAGAGAGAGAGAGAGAGAGAGAGAGAGAGAGAGAGAGAGAGAGAGAGAGAGAAACCCTGGATAAGAGGTTCAAGTTGGTTGTGGCAGTAAAGAAGCCAATAGCTTCTTGCTTCTGACCCACCCACTATTTTCCTTTCCTTAGAACTCTTACTTGGTCCTCGGAAGAGAAGCTTGTGGGTGCTGAGGCAGAAGACATAAGCAGGAAATCCACAGCAAAGCCAATCCAGGGCACAGACTAAGCCAGCTTCTCTGAGTTGGACCTGACTACTGGTTGTTGACTTCACATAGGTCCCTGCATTGCCTTAGGCCCGCTGATCACTAGCACCCCCCCCAAGCCTCCATTATCACCAACATAAAATCTAGGAGCAATGGAGATCATTAAATCCAGATCTCTCATTTTACACAGAAACAGAAGAGGAAGCATCTGGCCCAAGATCTCGCAGTAACTAATGGCAAGTACATATGTAAAACCTAGGTTCTTCTATCCATTTGCCTACCTTGCTTTATATCTATCTGCTTGCCCTTCCTCCCGCCCCCTGCCTCCCTTCCATGGGTACTCCATCCATCCAACATCTATTATACCTGTGCATCTACCCATCTCTGCATCCATCAGCTCTCCACCTCCCATCAATCACCCCATCCAGGGCTTCCTCCTCCATCACTGGGGCCCTCACCACCTGCTTTTCTGAGCTGTGCAGCATGAAGCTGGCATCACCAGCAGGACCACTCACTGTTTCAGAGAGAATGCCAGTTCTCACAGTTCCTGACAGACTCACAGATGCAGCAGGGCATTAAGTTTCCACAGCAGAAGACCTCTGAAGCATTCAGAATGTTCTGGGAAGGGCTGTGGATGGACAGACTTGTACTGTTGCTTTGGTTTCAATGTTGGTTTTGTTGTGGGAAGCAGAAAGGGCAAGCAGGGAAAGAAGGGAAGCAGGAGAAATGGACCAGAAACACCTCGGGCAGGCTTCCTAACAGGTATAGGGGGCTCAGATAAGAAGAGAGGGAAGGGGCTAGAGATATGGGCTCCGTAGTTAAGAGCACTGTTTGCTCTTCTAGAGGCCCCGGGGTTCAATTCCCAGCAACTTCACGGTGGCTCACAACCATCTAGAGTGGGATCTGATGCCCTCTTCTGGCATAAAGACATATATGTAGACAGAGCACTCATACAGTATAAATAAATCTCAAAAGAGAAGGGGGAGGGAGGGAGCTCAGGGACCATTGATGGCTCAGGGCAGGGAGCCACTGAATGGCTGAGACATGATCTCTAGTTACTTCTAATGCTCTGGTCTCTGGGAGGAAGGCAGGATGCTGGACTGGACCACATGCCCGGTAGCTCTCCTGTCATTTCACAGACATCACGTCTCTGTGAGCTACTGGGCTTGGCTTGGTCTCTTGGTATCTCCACTTTACAGGTGTGAGTATTAATATGCAATAGCTAAGAAACAGATGTCGACCCAGTCTCCAGCTTCTCGGCCCCCATTCTAGAGACGTGGTCTGCGGTTTTGGTGATGCTCAGGGAAGGGTTGGGTAGAGGGAGGGGAGCTGGTCTGCACTGGTTGGGATTAAGGCAGGCACTAAAACCACCTCCACTAGGCTTTAGGGATGCCTGGAGCTGAGCCAAAACATGCCATATGGGAGAGGTCAGCAATGGCTCAGCAAGGCTCCCTTTGCCGTTCTTGAACTCTGGAGACTAGCAGCCAAGTTCTAGAATATTCCTTCCTGGCCCGAGAGGCCAGATGGGAAGACAGGCTGGCCCTCAACATAGGATGACAAAGCCTTCTCTGACTAGGATCCAACTGTCCCTTCTCCAGATTGCTCTCCTGGGTTGCACCCCCCACCCCCATTTGTCTATACTGTTTTGAAGGCCACTTCTCCAATTCCTTCTCATACTTTACTGGCTTCCTGCTTGGGTCTTATCTCTCCTTGTCAGATGAGCCATGCGCTCTCCCTTCAGACTGGAGACTTGGGGTAGTAGCTGCTTCTCCCACCAGAATGGCTGCCCATGTTCTTTATTGAAAGCTCCAGTCCAAGGGGGAGGCCCCGGTGTGTACTGAGGTCTGTTTTAGCCCCTTTGGGTGGACTGGGGCCTCCAGCTCAGCCCATCCTGATTGAGCACAAACTGCTTCCTTTACCTCTGTCTTAGCAGCGGGCTCCCATAACTGAGGGGGCTCCTCTCTGCACTACCTCATGTGAAACTCCATGGAAGTGTAATATCCAGGAGATCACCTGCCCCTGCCACCCAGCTATCTTCTCCCAGAACCCAGCCTTGGAAAATTAGATACCCAGCCTCACCCACCCTCCCACACAGGTGTCCAACTACACCAGGGTGGAAATGAACCTGTTCCCTTGGACAACCTCTGGGCTCCCTTGTTAACAGATCCCTCCCTTCCCCAACAGCTATCAATTCCCAGAGGACCATTAGTGACCCCTGACCTTTCCCTGGGAAAAGGAAAGGCAGGCGATTTCCAAGCTACCCGGAGCCCAAGGGAAGGAGAAAGCAAAACAAAAGGTATACAACCTGGGAATGGAACCGAAGGAGCAACTAGCAGACCCAGAGGTAGAGACTGACAGTGTCCACAGGGAGCCGAGAAGAAAGATCAAGAGAGAACAGACCCAGGAGGCTCCGGAAAAGCAGCTGGGCAGCCCTGACGCCCCACCACGGGGTTAGAGAACAGAACACCTGCCCCACATGCCAGAGGGGAGAAGGGGACCCAAGCAGAAGAGAGGGGAGAGAGAGAAAGGGAGAGAGGCAGCTGACAGTCGCAGAAGTGGTTGGCCGATGGCTGGCATAGGGGAGGCAGTTGTGGAGTCAAGGAGGCCATGCCCCTCCCATGCCACCAGTCTTCAGCCAGCCCCAGGCTGGGAGCAGTCCACTGGAGTTCCACAGCCCGGCAAAGCGCCACAGAAGATGGGGTTGGTGGACAGGGCACCTACTCCTATCATAGAGTCCCCTCTCCCTAGTCACCGAGGGGAGAGCAGTTTCTCCAACCCACCGGCTCAACTGCCCGGACAGGAAGGAGTTAAGGTCTCTCCCCCTGCCCCCACACCAGTTTCTCTCTCTTCTTCTCTTCCTCCTTTCTTTTCTTTTTAAAAATTAATTTCCCCAGGCAGGAGGACGAGGATTAGGGACACAAATCCTATTTCTGTTCCCTCCCGACAGCCCAGCTCCCCGGTTCAGCGGGGTCTCCCTAGGGATAGAGGAAGAAAGGCCCTTGTGGCTTAGCTTCATCTAGCGCCACTTGGGGTGGGGGTGCCTCACCTTGAGCCCAATAGTTTCTGGCCCTGCTTCCCCTTCCACCCTAGAGGTCCCGGCCCCTCACCTCCAGCATCCGTCATTTCCAGCGTCCGGCGCCCCGGGAACCCCTCAGGCCCATGTTGCTCGGAGTGCCGGGCGGGAGAGGGGCGGAGGACTTTCACCCCGGCCGCGGGGGGCTCCGGGCGGGCTCCAGTCGCTCCATCCCAGGGTGTTGTTGGGGGATTGGAGGGGAGGGTCCCGGAGCCGGAAAGAATCCCGGAGCCGGAAAGAATGGAGAGGCGAGGTGTGTAAGGATGTAGGGAGACGGTCTGCGGGAAGCAGGAGACGCGGGCGGGGCTGGACCGGGAAACCTGACGGGAGAGGATGTTCCGTGTGTGCGTGCGTGTACGCGAGTGTGTGTGTGTGTGTGTGTGTGTGTATGTGTGTGTGTGTGTGAGGGGGGGAGAGAGAGAGAGAGAGAGAGAGAGAGAGAGAGAGAGAGAGAGAGAGAGAGAGAGAGAGAGAGAGAGAGAGAGAGAGAGAGAGAGAGCCACCTCCCGCCCCGCCCCCGCTGATCTTGGACCCTCGCGCCACAGACCGATTGGTGCGGCGTCGCGGTGCTAGGTCCGTGGGGTCGCCCCGGATAAGGCAATGCGGGGGGCGCTTGTGGGGATGCCGGTCGCCCCGGAGACAAAGAGCGGGAGGGAAGGAGGAGGCGGGCGGGCGGGCGGGCGGGCGGGCGGGAGGGGCGGAGGCCGCAAGGACCGAGGGGAGGAGGCGGCGGGTGCCCGCAGCGGGGCCGGGGATCCCAATTGCGCCGCTACTTCTCGGACCGCCGGAGACGCGGCGCTAGGGAGTCTGCGCGCTAGGAGCCGGCGAGTGACAGGGAACCGACCGGGGGGCGGTCCCGCTTCGGGACGCTCGGGGCTTTCCGCCCCCTCTGCAGGGTCTGTAAGGGCTCTTAATTCTCTCGTTCTTTTATTCAACAAGCATCTGCCGAGCAGCCAGCCTGGGCGCTGAAGGTGGAGGAGACCACTGTTGGACAGAACAGACCTGGTCCAGTACTGTCAGGGTTCAGCTAAGGATTTCCCAAGACTGGAAGCCGTGGGACACTTGAAGTTCTGGAGGGGGCGTGCACCCGAGGCACTGGAGTAGGGCACAGGGAGAATTCCTAGAGGTGTGTGGCTACTGCAGGCCAGGCTATGGGAGACTTACTCATGGGCATTGCCGGGTGGATGGGCCAGTGGGGGAAATGAGCGGAGACTGGAGGGTTGATTTATTCTGCTACGCCCCCTACCCCCCCCCAAAAGAAAGGTTGACCAGAGGAGGGAGGGGCTTCAACATGCATTTTTCGAAAATTCGTTGGGCATCCCAGTGGAGAATGGACTGTAGGGGGCAGCCGGAAGTCTGGCGCCGGTCTCAAGGGAATGCTGAAAGATGACAGCAGTGGGCATGAAGATTAAAGATCGAGCTGAGAGTAATTCTGGCTATAGAACTGAAGACACAGACAGGATTGGGAGCCGGCTGAACAAAGAATTGAGAGAAGGAGGAGTCTAGGATGACTGTGGGGCTTGGCTGGGGGCCGGGCAGTTCTGGAGCTAGGGGCTGGGGTGAGGGGTGGATGAGCTCAGACTTGGACATGGTGAGCCAGAGATGGTGGCAGGTCAGTGGCTGTGGGTGTGATCACCAGCTAGCTAAACATGCAGCAAGACTTAGGGCGCACCAGCTGCTTTAACATTCCTTAACATCAACTTCCTAATGCATCTGTAAGGAAGGGGTTTCTCTTGTCTTTTGAGACACACAAGTCAGAGACTCAAAAACAAAATGGTTTGTTCAGGACCTGGGAGAAAGCACTTAGTGAAAGTTGTAGGGTCTGGAGAGTCAGAGAACTCCTGACGCCTCATGGGAATGGGAGACTGCCAAGGGCCTGTGGGTAGCAGCAGCGTGTTGAGCCAAGAGTCCCTAGAACTGAGTGGGGATGGCACCAGTGGGGCTCAGAGCATCTCAGAGCTGGAGGGCTCTGGGTATCTTCAAAATCTGCTGAAAGTCTGTAGGTTCATGTGGAGGAAATGACGTCTCTGAGGACCACCTGTGCAGACTCTAGAACAGTGGTTCTCAACCCTCCTAATGCTTCAACCCTTTCATATAGCCCCATATGTTGCGGTGACCCCCAACCATAAAATTGTTTTCATTACTACTTCATAATTGTGATTTTGCTACTGTTATGAATTGTAATGTAAATATCTGTGTTTTCTGGTGGTCTTAGGTGACCCCCGTGAAAGGGCTGTTTGAATCCCCAAAGGGGTCTCGACTCACAGGTTGACAAAGGCTGCTCTAGAGTCTTTACATATGTGTGTGCTTCAGTGCTGGGATGCACCTCTTCCTATTCGGACCTCAGATGTTGGGATCTGGGGGAAATCCATTTGCTACCCCTCCTCTGCAGCAAATGTTGGGGTTGCAGCAGATCTGCTCAAGCTCCCACGACTCAGTAGATGATGGTAATGGATGAGCTGGGGGCAGTTATGATGACAAACATCACAGTCAGCCCACACCACTTGACAGTCCCTGTCCCCCAAATGGTCATATTGCATGGGTAAGTCACAGCTCAGACAGAGAAACTCCCAGAAAAGCCACGCAGACACAAGGTCCCTAGTCATACAACACTCATAAACACGAGGTGACACTTAACCATTCCTTTGAATGCCCCCTCCTCACATAGCACCCAGGGTAGTGTAGGTCACAGGTCTTCCACTGTAGACACTTGGCTTGTCAGACTTGAAGCTCTTACCACAAACCCAGGTGTCTCACCACCCAGGAAGTTCCAGCTTCATTTCTTGGTAAGATTTCCTGAGCAGGGGCTTGGTAGGTGTGCCTAGGAATTTCTAACCTAGGCACGATGACCTGAGACTTCTTTTAGGGAATCTGGTATGGAATTCAGCCCCACCTGGATCTCCCTGCATCATCCCCAGGGCTCTCAATGTTCCAAGCATGACCTGATGAGAGGAAATGCCCTGAGAGGCCACCGCCATTGCTAGTTTCCTGATGACTGTAAGGTAGGTGTCAGAGCTGAACAGGACTTATATGGCCCTGAGGTGCAGAACCAGTTTTGAAGGTAGTTAACAGGACTGTGACAGAATTACCCGCTGGGGAATGGCTGCTTCCAGAATTCTTATAGAGACCACTCATCTCTGGTGTTGTCAGGGGCTAACCAAAATGACCTAGGAACCTGGATATTGAGACTTTTGTCTCTTACTAGAAGGGAAGATGAGACTCCCCCGGGGTCCAAACTACAAAAGTACAAAACTCGCTTCCTAGCAACTGTACAGGAAAAGGCCCTGCTGTGTCCCGTAGGCCTCATTGCATTCACTTCTGGGACTCAACCAAAACTTGTCCCTGAAACTAGCTCATGGGGCCGCTAGTACTATATGAGTCAGTCAGCCCAAGAGAGCCTCTCTGTGACCTTGGAGACAACAGTGCTCTGAAAGTTCTCCTAGATCACCTCAAGAAATCTTTGGTCCTCTTGGCACTTCATAGGAGACCTCTGGGGTCTTGCAGAATGCTCAGTTCTCAGAGGAGGGGAGTTGCGTTTCAGTTCATCCTCTGGCTTGTTCTAAAGGTCTTGTGAAAGGGAGACCCGAAAAGACTGTCTAGAGACCCCGCGAAAACTAGGTGATGGTGGCAAGTGAGTTTGCTGAGACTGGGTTTAGAGAACTGGACTGGCATCGAGATCCTCTCCAGGTCCTGGGCAAAACTAGGGAAAGGAAGGGACCTTCTGGTAACCCTCCTCTTTCCCGGTCCAGCGCATCAAGAAACCAGGCAAGGCTCTGGGAGCTGCTTTTATGGGGACGACCTGACAGAGGGTATGGTCCGTACAAAACCAGGAACAATACATACATATATATATATTATATACAGAGACGGGGTCCTCCAAGGGCGGGGCAAGAGCACTGCCGGTCAAAACCGGAAGTACACCGAGGACCCACCCACCCGGCTCCACCCCCCTCCATCTGCCTAGGTGAAGTTCAGGGGCCGGGCACTATGAAAGCCAGCTCTTTCTGGGGAGTGGGGGGACGTCTCGGGGCGGGAGAGAGGGACAAGAAATACTGACTGATGGTATGGTCTATTTACAGGGGTCTAGGAGAAGCCAAAAAGGATAGAACAGGGTTGTTTAAAAACAAAACAAAAACCAAACAGAAACCTAGGCTTGGGACAGGGGTTGTGGAGGTGGCAAAATGAGATGGATTTTGAAAGGGGAGGGTACCTGAGGGGGTCTCACCTCCCTTGGTCCAAGCCCCAATTTGGGGTTAAAGTGGGGAAACTGAGTCAATTTCACTTAGAAAGCAGGCTGACAGCAAGCAGCCCTGGTCTCCAAAAAGATTAGTAAAATTTTTCCCTCCAGTGAAAACATTGGGGGCGGGGGGGCAGGGGAGGCTGAACCTGATGGTAATACAAGGCTTCCAGGTGTGGCCCTGGGCAGGGCCTAGCTCCCCAGGGAGAGCTCTGCAGGCACACCATCTAAGCTGACTTCCCTCCCTCCTGGCAAGCCTAGGCTAGACCAAGGAAACCTGAACCCCAGAGTGGCCTCAGGACAGTTCCAGGAGGAGGCTATGGCTATTTGGCACCTGGGAGAGGGGGAGGCACAAGGAGAAATTGAGGGCCATTGCCCTTCCTAGGGGAGGGGGGGACTGGATTCCAGGTGTTCTGGACTCATCCTTTTCCCTACTCTGGCTCACCCCCCCCAGCCCCGCCCCAAGGATACATGAGAAATCAGTGCAGGACCAGGCCCAGCCTCTGGCTCAAGGGTGGGCTCTATCCCTCCTGGGATGGGAAGCAGGGGTAGGAGATGTTGAGGCAACCCCTCCAAGCAGGAGGCCAGAATGCAACAGACAGCACAATGATAGGGAAGAGGAAAGGGCCAAGAAAGTAGAATCTCAAGTCAAGAGGCCCAGGGGCCACATGGGCCCAGTGGCAGGGAGCAGCCTCCAAGTGGTGAGACGCTGGGAGAGCCCCAGCTCCACTCCGGTCCAGAGACACAGGCTAGAGGTCGTGAAGTCTGGCAGTTTGGTCTGCAGGTCCTTGTGTCCATCCACCACCCAGGTCAGCTCTCAGCTTCTCTTGGCCTCTGTGCCTTAGCCCCAGAGAACAAGGAGGCCACTCTTCCAGCCACCATTGTCTGCCCGGGGGGCCACCCTAAAGGGGCCTGTAATACCGGCTCTCTGGTCCCTGAAGCTGGGGGAGGTGGGGTGGAGGAGTGGGGGAAGTCGGGGCACCTGTCCCCAGGCTGGTAGGAGCGGGGTGGGGATTGAGGACAGGGGTGAGGATAATAGGAGGGGATTATATTGTCCAGTCAAGGAGTGATCCTGTTAGGTAGAATTGGAATTCCTCAGGGTCTGCAGGTTTCCTTCCAGTTCTGAGATCTAGAAAACAGAGAGGGGATGTCAGGCTTGGCCACTGAACAAAGATC